TGTGGACTTCAACTCCCAGAATTCCTCAGCCAGCTTTGCTGGCTGAGGAATTCTGGGAGTTGAAGTCCACTAGTCTTAAAGTTGCCAAGGTTGGAGACCCCTGCTCTAAAGCACCTGAGGGCAAAACAAGAAGCAGTGGCTGGAAGCTCATCAGAAGGAGATCCAACATGGAAAAGTGAAATTTCCTGACAATGAGAACAATTAAGCAATGGAACAGCTTGCCTCTTGGTACTGTGGGTGCTCCATCACTCATGGTTTTCAAGAAAGATTGGACATCCATTTGTCCAGGATGGTATAAGGACTCCTGGCTTTGGGCTGGAAGTTAGAATACTTCCAAAGCATCTTCCTATCCTATGATTCTATGATTCTAAATCACAGGATGGTCACCTCCTGTTAAATATTAAGAAAAAAAACTTCCTGGTTGTAGGAATGATGGAGCAGTTGACCCCGTTGCCAAGGGAGATCATAAGCAAATCTCCATGGATGTATTTAAACAAACAGCACTCTGTCTGGGATGTTTTATCCTGGATTCTTGCCCTGATCAGAGAGATCAGTCTGCAGCTGAGCACCAAGCAAACATTGATTCATGATATCAAAATAGTTGTCTTGGATGTTGGTGCAAGAGGTTTCATTTCTGCACTGCATGTTTTCTAAACTGAGGGGGAAACAGGTCTTGGATGTAATGGTGGGGGACAAAGCAGGAGTGTCCTGAAGGGGGCTGGAGGGAGAGGTTACAGTAATGGGGATCCCGGTACTTCCAGATACTGTACTGATGGACTCTGTATCCCAGTGGTCCAAACAAGCATGGTTAATGGAAGGAAGATGTCATCCATCACTGTCTGGATGGTCACAGAACTCCCATCCCTGCTTATAAAAGGGAGTGTATCCTCTGAGATGCCTCCTGCTTCAAAACAGTCTCCCCAACATCACTAGGTGGCATCCATAGACACCTCAAATTTAATTCATTTGAAGAATATGAAAGGAAATGAAAGCATATTCATGAACTGAAGAAGCTTCTCGGATGAGAAGCGAAACATTTTCAACAGAAAAAAACAAAGTCCAGTTGCCTTTTGGAAAAAGCATATTTGGGAGATAGTAAGCATGAAAAACCTATGGGAGCCTCTGGAATTTTTAGAATTCTCATTTAAACTCTCAAGCCAGTTCATAAGAGACTTGGAACAAAAACTCAACAGACTGGGTAATCTTGTGAGATTTTGGCTGCTGTACTTGAAACTAAGCTGCTTTCTGTGTATAAGCAGAAGAAGAGGGGACATATGAATGACCTCCCCCCACCCACCTACCTTGCGTCTGGCTTTTCTGTCTTGACCAGGCCTCAGGAAAGGGCAGCCCAACCCAGCTAGTAAACAGCTTCAGCATTTGCAGGCCATCAGTCAAGTCCTCTCCGAGTGGATGCCAAGTTTTGCTGGAGCAAGAAAAACACCCGCCAAACAGGAGGAATTGCTGAAGGGCCTGGAAAAGTCTCAAAGCCTTTGTTGCTTTTGGGCAGTGATTGACTTTCCAGGATCGAGAGATCCTTCCAGTCATTCAGCTGAAGCTAAATCACCCACAAAACCTCTCGTTTGGAGGACCCAAACACTCTTCGCTGGGGGACACACAGCAAAGCAAACCAGGCCAATTAAAAATGGTTGCATTCACATAAGTTAAAGCTGATTAATTTTAACTTGGTTATTATTTTTCTGTGTTAACAGATTGTGTGAATTCAAGCTGTTCGATTACTTTAGGCTACAATATATTACATGAGCTCAGAAAATAGCTCAGACAAGTAAACAGCATAGTTGTATTATTTGATTGCAGTTACGGATGAGTTTCCTGGCTGGTTTGCTCAGTTTTGGGTACTCCAAGTAGAGACTCTTCTGCACTGAGATATCAGGGATCAAAGAGTTAATTGATTTAGGACAGTTGTCTTTTCCCACCATTCAAGGATTTTCCAGAGGCTCACATGAAAATTTTGCTCTCCTCTGAACTGTCAGCTTGTATTTAGACAACATGTTAATCAAGGTTAAAGAGGGGTTGGATCGTGGTCCACCATGCTGTGTGAAACTGGCCATTGCATGGAATCTTAGCATGACTTATTTTAAAATTAAAATGTTGTGTCAAACTACACAACTATCAATCAGGGATGATACTGAGACTTAAAAATATCACTTTCCAAACTCTGTTTGGACTAAGTGATTGGCATAATTTTATATTAGTGAACTAAACCATTCTTACTTTAACTATGACTTATTGAATGAACCACAATTGGCTGAATAAACTGAATATTGTAAGCCAGAAACCATGGGTTGACAAGATAAAGGTAAAATTTCTTACAAGTTGAGTTTGACTCCGGATGAATTGGATAGGTCTACATAGCCTTCCTTGGCAACAATACAGCTTCACTCCCATAATTCTCAGGCACATTCTTCATACATCAATTTGAGACCCAACTCAGTTGGGAGACCTGAAGTTGATGATGACTGGTTTTGAATATATGGTAAATTCTTTGGGGGAGACAGTGATCACAGCTTTGTGTGGGTGAGGAACATAAGAGTCATGACTCCTAGCTTGGTTCAACACCAATGAGTGACTAAATAGATATGCCCATACTGTTTTCCAGGCAACAATACAGAAATACTATAGTTTATAGGATCAATTTTCAACTTTCCTGGGATTTATGTTGTTCTTTCACCTGAGAATGAACAAATTCTACCCAAATTTTCCATTTGAAGCCAACCGCAACTGCTAGAGTCACATAACACAAAGTGCACTTTGTACTCCTCATCATAGTGCAGAAAGCTCACCAGAGTCCACAAGCTGATGAGAATGGTGCATTATGGTTATCAACTATTGCTTCCCCAAGTTCAACTCTGGCTTGTGGCTCATATGGGAGACAGAACTGCAGGCCTGCATATTATTTATTAAGAGGCTGCCACAAAGAAGTTGGGGTCAACCTAGTCTCCAAATAACCTGAAAGCAGAACAACGAGCAATGGATGGAAACTAATCAAGGAGAGAATGAACCTGGGAATAAGGAGTCCTGACAGTTAGAACAATTAATCATTGTAAAGATTTGCCTCCAGAAATTGTGGGTGCTCCAACGCTGGAGGATTTTAAGAAGAAATTGGACAACCATTTGTCTGAAATGATATACAGTATCCTGGTTCAGCAAGGGGTGGCGGGGTATGGATTAGAAGACCTCCAAAGTCCCTTCCAATCCTGATATTCTGTTATTTATTGTTATTTTATTAGGGTTCTAAGCCCAATAGTCCAATTGTGAATGGCTTCAAGTAGCATATAAACATATGAAAGTCAAGTAATAAAATAGTCAACAGAATAAGAACAAACATATTAATAACACAATGAATAATCATAGTCAGTAGAATCAGGAATATTAATCAGTTAATCCATGAAACCAACCCTGTAAAGTAGCATTCCATGGCCAGGGGAAATAAGATGGAAATAATATGGCCTGCAAGAATAATCTAGTTTCAAAGGAGTTCTTGGAAAGCAAAGGGGGAAAGGGCTATTGCATCTCATAGGAGATGCAGTTCTACAAGAGGGAAGTATCAGTTATCTCATTTCTCTGACTCCTGAAGGTGGCATTCCTTGAGTAAAGAATCACCGGCCCTCAGTTCTTGCAGATGAATAGATTGAGAATTGCAAAAATTAGGAATGTAGTAGAAGCTTTCAGGCTAATAAGCTTCATTAAAAGGCAGAAGTCTCCAGTTAGCAAAGTTTAGTAAAATTTATTACAGGTAGTCTTTGACTTACAACCACAACGGAGCCCCAAAGCTCTGGTTTTAAGTGAGGCATTTGTTAAGTGACTTTTGCCCCATTTTATGACCTTTCTTGCCTCCGTTGTAAAGTGAATTACTGCAGTTGATAAGTTAGTAACCCAGTTGTTAAGTGAATCTGGCTTCCCCATTGACTTTCCTTGTCAGAAGGCTGCAAAAGGTGATCACATGACCTTGGGACACAACAACAGCCGCAAATATGAACCAGCTGCCAAGCATTTGAATGTTGATGATATGATCACAGGGATGTTGCTAAGATCGTAACTGTGAAAAAGGGTCATAAGTCACTTTTTTTAATGCATTTATAACTTTGGTCACTAAATGAACAGTTGTAAGTCAAGGACTACTTGTAGTCTGAAAGCTAATATCTATTGAAGGTCCTGTAGATATACAGATGTTGAGCCAACAACCAACACCTTGAACTGTATCTAGAAGCCAACTGGCCACCAGAGTAGGGCCTGAAGCAGTGGTGCTACCTTGTCCAATGAGGATGAATTTCAGGCTGATTCTGCATTCAGCAAGAACAGTCATACCCAGCAGGTCTGAGGATCCTTCCCCCCCCCCTGAGTTTCAGAAGCAAGACTGGCCACACAGGTACCCACCTGTACTCCCAGGTACTCCCTTTCCCACACTGCTGTTTCCTAAATGAGAGTAATCCTCAACTGGAACTTCAAATGGTGATTCCATGACCTGGGGATGCTGCAACCATCATAAACACATGTTGGTTGCCAATCGCCCAAATGCTGATCACTTGAGAATGGGGATGCTATGCCAGCACATGGACCAGTTCAGCATCATTGTAAATTGGAATGGTCACTAAATGAATGGTTCTAAGTTGAGGACTACCTATATCTGCCTTAACAATCATGTCTGAAAACCCTGGACATCGTAATTGGTTAAGGTTAAGGTTTTGCCCATCTTCCTTGTAGACCTTCACCTCCCACTGATACATGGGGAGAAGGAAGGCTTCTAAACCAGCAAAGATCTGGTCAGTTTCTCAATTGCTGGCCCAACAGACGGGTTTACTGTTATATTATTTTCGCCTCAAAACAAATTCCTCCAGCAGACAGTTGGAACAAGGAATTAGAACTGAAATTGATGCATGGCATTAATTTGCACAGAAAACAGGTTATCCACAAGCAACGGCCATGCAGCAGCTTTAAGAGTCAGGAACGGAGAACACTCACTTCGTTGGATGAACCAAGGAAGTGTTGCCTAGTCGGAGGATCATCGGACCTTTGGGATTGCGTATTTTCTTAACTGACGAGGTCTTCAGAAGACCAAACCTTTTGATTAGATTAAATCCTGGAAAAGAGAGAAGAAGGTAAGCTGGGAGTCTATTGGAAATTTGGGATGTTGTAATGAAATGCAGGGAGGGGGAAAACACCAGGTTGGGAAGTCTAATTTCACCATCTATTTTTTTTTAAACTTTCTCTATTGGTTCATAATATCTTCCTTATTCACATTGCAGAATAATAAAGACTAATTCCTGAAAATGTAAGGTACAGAAGAATAACGAGCTGTGGAGCATTAGATGTGGGTCTTTTATAGATAAAAATAGGTTTGAGTCAGAATGCCTGAAAGTCCATCCTTTAGTGTGGTGCATCTCTAGTCCTTATTGAGACTGGCTGTTCCTTTAATTGGGAAAAATGAAGAAAAAGCATAGTATTTTTCCTTAAGGGAAATAAGGACTTCAAAATGTTGAGGCTTCTGAGTCTATTTCCACCTATCATTTATGTGTCTGTCTGTTTATGGTCATAGTCCCAAAGCCACGGGCACACCGACACATCCCATTCATATCCAAAACTTAAATTACATTTTGATCCATCTCATCTAAGACTACTGCTATTACACAGTATTTGAGGACTTTCCGGGAGATTTTGACAGTATGGATCATCTCATAGGAAGTGTACAATTGCCTGTTGGAAGCTGTCCAGACAATATGTGATGAGATTAGTTCAGTCCTAAGGGAACGATAGACGGGGCACTTCAGAAGTCCGTAATCAGCTGTTTCCCCTTCAGTGTTCAAACATCTGAATGAACGCTTTTGATAGTGGATGTGATTAAATCTTCCCATCAACGGCACCCAGGATAGGGGGCCTAAGACATAAATCCCCTTCCTGGCAAAGGCACAAGGACTGGATAAAAAGAATTGGGTATTGTAAAAATGCAGGTACATAATATCGTTGTAGCAGGGACAAGAGATATTTAGCTCTATCCTTTGGTACATTAAGATCAAAACATTTTCTGCCTGATCTCATACCAGAAAAAAAAAACATTGGGGACTAAACCTGAAATGTTCAATCATTGTCCCCATTTCAACACATCATCTCTTTTGTCTGTGCCAGTGCAAAGGATACTGGGAGTATCTTTTGGAACACATCATGAGCATCCCTTAAAAGAATGTTTCTCAACCTTAGCAACAGAGGGAAGGAGATACCTGAAATCAAACTTGCCCATAACTCCTGCGGAACCATCTTTGGCTTGCTTAACGTGCCCCTGTGTTTAGCAGGGATGTCTTTTGCAGCAACTTCTCCACGAAAGGTGTTATATTAAGGCCGTGTTTCTCAACCTTAGCAATTTTTACACACATGGGCTTCAACACCCAGAATTTCCCAAGCAACATAGTTAAAATGGTTAGACCTCAGCTCAGCCTGCTGGCTGGGGAATTCTGGAAGTTGAATTCTACACATCTTAAAAGAGCTGGGGAATTTTGGGAGTTGAAGTTCACCCGAGTTAAAGTTGCTAAAGTTGACAAACACCGCCTTAACATAACCTCCCTCGTGGAGATGTTGCTGCAAAAAAACATGGTAGGCACGGGGGCGTGTTAGCAAGCCAAAGGTGACCACAGAAGTTATGGGGACCTCTGATTTTAGGCAAAGCAGGTATCTCCTTCCCTCTTGCTCCAGGTCAGGTTTCAGGCAGTGGTTTTTAAAGAAGAGGATCTACCTGTCACCCCACATTCTTACTTCTTGTCTTCCATTTCTCAGCCCTGGGGAAAGTGCTAAAATGACAATCTAAGCAGCTGCCATAGAATGGCAAACGAAGGTTGTGTTTCTTGGATGAATGTTAGGCTTACAGATCAGGCTGCAAGGTAAAAGATAGGCTTTGATGACTATCTGGACAGTGACCCCCCAGCTGCCTCATCTCTTGCCACACTCCACCCTACCCCATCTGCACCTGGGGAGGACAATGCCAAGAAAACACTCTTTGGATGCTTATTAGCTAGACCTCAATGGGTGGGGGCAGGTCAAGCAAGCAGGGCTATCTCAATCCCACGAATCTGGAGGAAAGAGAAGGAAGAGAATCTGGGCTGCCCACTTACCAGTTATATTTACAAATTCATCGCTGCTGTGGTCCAGACGGAGATTTTCTTTCTCCAGTAGCGGACACTTCTCTCCTGTAAGAGAATGATTAATAAGAAGGATTAATCAGTGGAACTTTGTCTCCTGGAGTTGTGGGGGGCTCCATGACTGGAGGTTTTCAAAAATAGACTAGACAACCACTTGACCACTTGTTTGGGAGATATAAGGACTCCTGCCTTGGGCATGGAGTTGGAGACCTCCTCTAAAGTCCTTCCACTATGACTAGATGATAAGACATTTTCTAACCATCACCACGGAGCATTGATATTCATTAACATGTGAGTTAAGCCCCCAGATGCCATTGATTGAGACACAGGATTCAGTAAGGAATGAAGACGGGACTTAGTTATACAAGTGGAGGGGTTATTGCTCAAGCAACTGTTGGGTTTTTCCCTGGCAGAGAGGTTAATTCTGACTCAGAGGCCAGGCCTCCCTTGCCAGGACCCGTCTCAGAATTTTTCATGTGATTTAGTTTTGGAAATGATAGAAATAAATAAGATAGCTGTTCTAAAATAGAGAAATGACTCATCTCTGGACAGACATTCACCAGACCCAGTATTTGTTTTCTCTCTCTCTCTCACTCTCACTCTCTCTCTCTCTCTCTCTCTCTCTCTCTCTCTCTCTCTCTCTCCCTCCCTCCCTCCCTCCCTCCCTCCCTCCCTCCCGCTCTCCCCCTTCTAATCACTAGCCAACCTATGGATAAAAGTTAGCAAGGATGCTAACAAAAGACTGCAAAACAGTGTTGCTACCAGCTATGTTGGCTTGCAGTGCCCAGAAATCCTCAGCCAGGATTCACGCAATGTGGTGCACTAAGCCTTTGTATTTATTGACTGGCTTCCAACAATCTGTTTGATTTCCATCCAAACTTAGATTCAGGGGCCCAGAGCAGTCAACGTAGAGCTTCTACCTTCTGCTTTTTTCACAACAAGCCACTTAATGTGGGCTGGGCTGTGAGATGGTGACTAGTTCAAAGACACCCAGTTAATTTTCGTGACTGTAGATGGATTTGACCCTCAGTCTTCTTGCTCCTAAGTCATTGCCTTAGCAACAGGTTCTTGTAACTAGGTCAGGAAAGAATTAATGGCTGCATTTGCACAACTTTGGTTGATAGAATTAACCTTGATTAGTTATTTTGTATCTTATCGTAGTGTATGAACCTACTCTACAGAAAGTCCTTGACTTATGACTGTAATTGAGCCTGGCAGTTACAGTCATAAGTCATGGCAGTCACAAAATGACTTTTACAACTTTTTTTGCAAAGGTCATTAAGCAACCACCGTGGTCAAAAAGCAACTGCCATGCTTGTTAAGCAATTGCTACAGTTGCTAAGCAAACTCATTGTTTGCTGTGGACCACATTTTGCTAGAAACCAGAAGGAAACACTGGTTTCCATCAAAACATTACAGTCACATGACCACACAGTGCTGAAAACCACCATAAATGTGGATGGGTCAGTTGCCAAGTGCCCAAAATATATCCAGATGATCGTGGGGGGTGGGGGGAGGTGACTTCAGAATTCCAAAACAGGGTTGTAAGTGGGTTTTGAAGGGGTCCATTATAACTTGTACCAATCACTTTGTCATAAGTTTAAGGCCACTAGTATTTCGTTAGATCACAGTTGTGCAATATTGTTATAATGTAGTTTTGGATAAACCCAGAAAATGATTAAAATTAGTAATCAGATGAAGCAACTTTTGTGAATCAGCCTTATCAAAACAAGGTATGCACTGGGAGATGCTTAGCTGAAAAGCTACAAAAACCCAACTCGCTGCTTCTTTTGCGTGTGAGAATTAGGATGCGTGGAGCCTGTGGAATGGGGAATAATAGCATCTCAGCAACAAAGTTTCTTTCAAAGGAGACAGAATCAATTAGCTTGCTCACATTAACAGAGTGGTTCACGCTGCTGAGTGGCCATAAATGTTTGAGTGGGTAACTTGGGCAGTGGAAAGAGCCTATGTGTTTTCAGTTGATCAGCTAAAACACATCTAATTAACAGCTAGAACATCCTCCTCCTCCTGGGTTGAAATTCCTATTTTTCACATCTGTTTCTGGAGGAATAAATATAAGAACTACCATAATGGGTATAAGATGGATGCAATGGTACATTAGCCCTTTTCTTCTTTTAGCAATTTCTGCTACCCTTTCAAAGTTCTGACTCTCCAGTTATTTGTCTTTGCATTTTTAAGGCAAGCTATTCCAGACTCAGATTTTATCAAAGTATTGAAATGTTGCAAATGGCAAAGAACAAACAATACAGAATGGATGATATTTCATCTGGCAGAAACATAGCTCTGCGACAGTTCCTTCAAGGTGCAATTTTGCTAAAATCTAGGTTGGTCCCTCAACCGTTTTCCAAATGAGACAACAATCATTTCTCTCCTCTGTGAATTTTGAGGATCACAAAGGATGACAACCTGCACCCAAAACTTTGCAATGATTGTAAGAGGCAAGACAATTCTGCCCTAAGTCCTCAGCTTATGACTACAATTGGAACAGGAACTTCCATCCCTAAACCATGGACTCGTTAAGTGAGTCATGATTGATTTTACAATACTTTTGCCTCAGCTGTTAAGCAAATCACCATGGTCATTAAACAAATCAAATTGTCATTAAGCAAATCTGGCTTCTGCCTTGACACTGTGTTTGTTGGAAGCTCCCTGGGAAGGTTGCAAATGGCACTCATGGGACTCTGGGTTGTTGCAACTGCTGTAAATATAGGCCAATTGCCAAAACCCCAACTTTTAAACATGTGACTATGGGGATGCTATGACGGTCATAAGTAAAAGGACTGATCGTAAATCCCTTTGTAAAAATGACATTGAAAGTTTGAACAGTTGTTAAATGAATGGTCATACTGTAGCTCGAGGACTACCTCTCTAGCTCAGAAGCAAACAAGGTTCACAAGGGCAGTGCTGATGTTCCTTATTCTCTGCTCTGAACCGCAAAGACGCCTGAGCTCAAAACCAACAAATTTAGAGCTTCTGCTTCTTTCAGCACTTGAGATCCTGAACTGAACGTTTTTCAGCTCCAGGCTCTTAGCATGTGTAATGGCAATGCTGAATACCGTTGTTATTTTGACGTCTTTAGTGACATATTTTGATTTTTCCTTTATTTTATGAAATCTATAGAAGTTGAGAGCTCATTCTGAGCTCATATGTTTTTAGGGGAGGTTTCCTCTTGTTTATTGAATAAAAGAGAAGGAGTGGGGAATCTTCACTTAGCTCCAAAGATTTTCCTGCTGTGAAAGTCTCAGTCTTTTGATTCCCATTCCAGAGTCATGTGCCACCAGTCAAGATCAGTGGCATCCTGACAACCAGGTCTTGCAGTCTCCTCAATATAGCCCGACCACGAAGTCACAGTACCATATTTTTATACACATTTTGCAGTGATTGTTGTTTGAAGGGAGCTTCTGCACAGACCCTAGTGCTGGGCACTGTGGAAATTGGCCACTATTGGGGCGTCTCTGCTGTTCTTATTAAAGAGCTCCTGACAACTTGTAAGAGATTTGAGCATAATCTTACTTGGTATGTTATGCTTATTTTTGCTTTTAAATCTGTTCGCTTGAGCTAATAACAACACATACAATCTCTTTATTGACTAGAGTGTTCATTATCTCTGGATCCAAAAGAATCAACCGGATCACTGGCCTTAAACTTGATAAAACAGCATGCCACCCAAGGCTTGGGTGCAGAATGTCACAGCAGGTCTTGCAAGTTGTGACTTAACAACATTCCCTCAGCACAAATATATATATTACTCACAAACTGTTGTGCTTCTTAGGTTCACTCTCTTGCTTGGCTCTTGACTGGAACTGCTAGTTATATAGGAGCTAGAAAAATAGATGGCAGCAGAAGGAACATTTGCTGCACACCAGATCTGGCAGCGCCGCTGTTGAATTCTTGTAGTCTACTGCTAATGTTCTTAATGATGACTTGGTAGCAAAGTTGATGCTTTGGGACACAGAACGCAACCCAATTTCTTGCTTTAACTGTAAATCTCTCTCAAATAAAGTCTTTCATTGGGAAGGAGAATGGAGAAATGACATACAGCTCGAATCATTAAGCCTTTCCTCATGTTCCTGTGAGTCATTGTAAGCTCCAAAACAAAACAAAATAAAAAAATAGATGTTTTCTCCAAAGGAAGAATGTATGAACTACAAGATCCCTTGAGTTTGTCTCCTAATTACCAGTTATGACCAGTTGCTATCATGGTTCAGCCACAGAACATTTTTGCAAAGGATATTGCAGCTGCTGAAAAATGGTCCCCTGGGGGCCCTTTAGAGGCATCCAAGACTGCTGCCTCAGCTCTTTCTCTTCCTGCCAAGTCCATTAAAAAAGCAAATAGGGTTCAATTATGAGTCTGAGGAGGGGCATGGCAGAGATGTTAACAGCTTAGCCTGGGCCAGTGTTGCTCAACCTTGGCAATGTATACCTTATGCCACCAGACTTGAAATTCTAGACCTAGAAAACCTAGAACTATGGCGCCTTCGGTCCGATCTAAGTATAGTATATAAAAATCATACATTGCAATGTCCTACCTGTCAATGAATACTTCAGCTTCAACCACAACAATACAAGAGAGTATACAAGAGAAACAGTGTATTGGGGCCAGGAATGACAATAGATACAAACTCAAGGTTGATCGCACCAAACTTGACTGCAGGAAAGATCGCACCAAACTTGACTTCAGCAACAGAGTAGTCAATGTCTGGAATACTCTACCTGACTCTGTGGTTTCTTCTCCAAACCTCAAAAACTTTAATCTTAGACTTTCTACTATTGACCTCACCCCTTTCCTAAGAGGTCTGTAGGGGGCGTGCATAACCGCACCAACGGGCCTATCGTCCCTGTCCTATTGTTTCTTTTATATATATATATTTATTTTTCTTATATGTATCCATGTATTCATAACTATGTTTTTACTTATACCTATTATCTTGTAAGCAACTGACAAATAAAAATAAATACAAATAAAATAAAAATAAATAAATGTTAAGATGTGTGGACTTCAGCTCCCAGAATTCCCCAGGCAGCTG